GGGGAGGGTGCTTCTGGCGCCCACATGGCTCACCTTCTCTGCCCTAGGAGCTTGGGATGGCAGCAGGGGAGCTTCCTTCCGGGTGCTGGGACCCGCTGAGCTTCACTGCCCTAGGAGCCTGGGATAGAGGTGGGGAGCTTCCTTCTAGGTGCTGGGACTGGCTCACCTTCTTGGCCCTAGGAGCCTGGGATGGAGGCAGGGAGCTTCCTTCCGGGTGCTGGGACCAGCTGAGCTTCTCTGCCCTAGGAGCCTGGGATGGAGGCAGGGAGCTTCCTTCCGGGTGCTGGGACAGGCTGAGCTTCACTTCCCTAGGAGCCTGGGATGGAGGCAGGGAATCTTGATAACTATCTTTTTTATGTTTTTCCCCATTCAGACTCAAATAGAAGTGGATATGACCAATTCACTTTAAAAACAATAAAACTTTGCAAAATCCAATAGAAGCTCCTTAATCATCAGAAGTAGGAGAGGTAATAAATGAGAAGAGAAAAAATAAAAGACCACTATTTATGATGGTGGCAGGAACTAAAGCTTTACTATCTTGTGCCTGTGACCTTCTGTAAAAGATCCTGAAAGGGCCCTGCTGTCTGCATTCCATCACTTGCTTAGTCTATTCCTGTGGAGAAGGGAGAGATTGAAAGGGAGGTAAACCTCCAGGGATAGACTGGAAAACTGCTTCCACTCTATTTCTAGTCTATAGCAACACGATCTCATTAACAAACACTGTAGCTGATTTTCTTGTATTACTCAGAAAAGGACAGTCATGTATGATTGTTTTGCCTTTCTCTGATTAACATTGTTCCATGCCTTACATCTTGACAAAGTACTCCTAACTAGCTGATCTCCTTTGTCATCCAGAAATTTCCCATAAAGTTAGAAATGAATGAATTGGGGAATGTTAGAACATGAATGCCATTGTGATAAATATGCTCAGCTAGTAGTCTGGGCATGGGACTAGGGAGTCAAACATCAGTGAGTCCTCCTTCTACTTGAAGCTGTTGTACCTTATTCCACATCACTACTGCCAGTCATTCTGTTTACATAGAATGCTCTATGGGGTGAGATCAAAATATACAGTGAATGTTTAAATTTTTCAATTAAAATATATTACAGTAAAAGACACACTGCCATTCATCCTCCTCAAAATACTTCCTCCTGCTGCTCTGAACATACTTATCCCATCATTCTCACCATTGTGAAAAGCAATTTGGGAAATCCTCTTTCATAAATGTCTTTATGAGGCATGATGAAACATGAATGCTACCGTGTGTCATCCATCAAAAGGCAGCTCATCAAAACAACATGGCGTCTCTGCATCCACCCTCTCCGCCACATCTGCCACCATGTGACTTCTGGCTCTTCCCCAATGTCAAAATGACCATGGAAGGTAAATGATTTTGAATTGATTCAGACCTTCCAGGTAGCCAGGACAGTGCAACTAAAGAAACCCAGGAAAGGGGGCTTCTGGAACTGTTTCTGAAAATGGCAAGAATAATGGGACAAGTGTTCCAAGAGAAGGGGAGTTCTTCAAGGGAGATTGATGGTAGTTTGTCTTTTACTGTCATAATTGTCTTTAATTTTAACATTTACCATATTTTTATTATACCTCCTATTATACTGCTCTTAAAGTCCTGCCAAGAAATACCTGGTCTGGTGTCTGTTAAATGTACTTGTGCCTTAGGCACCATGCTCACCCTGCCCCTGATGTGGCTGTCAAGCAGCCAGTCCTATACAAGAACAGTCAGCAGACAGGGTGGTCAAGCATCTTGGAAAGCAGATGGAAATACTCAGCAAGCAGCCTATTAACCTGTAAATGTATAATGACCACCGAAGACTGAGCATGCAGAGCGCCAGAAGCCCCGCAGCATTCCATCAGTGTTGAGGATTTGCCTACATTAACAGAACAGGAAAAGATGACAAGATATATTGTTTTTTGATCAATATTTTAGAATTAAATCTGGAAACACTAATGGTTTGAGGTTCTCCGTTTTGGCAAAGAATAATGTAGGCATCTTTAAAAAGTGTCAGCCCTACAAATGCACAGCCTCTTGATTTGGGCTGCAACATGCAAAGTGTACTTGAAAATGAAGCTCTCGGACTGCCCGAGTGCCTGTGCCACTGCCCGGGTCTGTGGGAGGCAGAGAGGGGACAGCGGAGGCGCCATCACTGTCCTAGCCCTTATGAACATCTTCCTGCCAGCTACGGCTCCTCTCCTCCTATGAAATGCTGTACTCTATTCCACATCACCAAACTTTGCACCCCTTTTCTCCCTCTTCTTTCCTACCCCTCAGCTCTGGAAGTCCCAGACCACCAGACGACTGGAGGAAGGCATGTGATGAGGAGTGTGATGAGGGCTGGTTTGGGGATAAAAGCATTTCCTCTTTCTCCCAGAGGTAGCCTCAGCTGTGTGTATATAATTTCCTATTTACCTTGAAAGGAAAATATACAAGATAATAGTCTTGGCAATTAAACACCTGTCTCTGACCACCTTTCTTATAGGTATCTCCAAAGGAGAGGAGCCAAAGCTTCTGAGACCCCCGAGAAGACCCTGGAAACCCAAAACATTAAATAACCCTGAAGATTCCACATACTATTACCTCCTCCACGTAAGTGGCTCTTTCATTATCAGACGGGAGCCACCGCATCCCCTGAAGGCCAGTGTGGAAACGGAGGCTGCATTAAGCCCACCCACACCAGACCCGTCAAGGTTTGCTCCCTGCTGACCTCCCCAGCTGAATGTCTGGGCACTTTGCTCCCCCGATGCCGCTCCCTCATGCTCCAGGCTTGTCCCGTGGTCATGTGCCCACCCTGTCCTCCAAGAAGCTGCCTCTGCTGTCCTTATTCTGCACTCAGAGGCCACTGTCACCTCAGAAAAGGAAATCCAACATGGCGGGCCTCTGCCAGGAGGGATCTTTCCAGACAGGGACCTTCAAGTAAATGGTCATCATGACAGTAGAAGAAAGGGAGAAAAGGGGAAGAGTGGCTGTTTGTTGAACATCAGTTAATTCCATACTTAGAAGGAGGTGTGTGCATAGTAAATGGGCTATCTAATTGTACAGACAGCCCTGGGTTGAGGCATATCTCACAGATCAGGGCTCTGAGATGCAGATAAGCATGTCTTAGCCATTGTGTCAGGGACCTTAATTTTATTAAGGTCTTCTGGCTGCATTCATGTTTGCAAGAGAATTCGTTGACATCACCCTTCCTAGGCCTCCCTTCTTCTCATGACCCTGTTGTCCACGAATGCACTGTCACCCACTTGCTTTCCAAAACTAAGAACCTTGGAGTTGTCCTAGATCTTCCCCCTCTCTCCAACCTGTTACCTAAATCATTTGCTCCGGCCTGGAGCTTCTACCTGCAAAGACTCACTCCGGCCATCTTCCTTCTCTAATCTCAGCAAGGGCCCTGTTTCGTACCATCATCATTTCTCACCTGGAGTATCTCACACCCCACCTAGCTACTGCCAATCTCAGCCTCCTTGGGCTCCATCAGAAAATGTCTCCAAATGGTTTGTGTCCCACCACTTGCTGTTGATACTCCCTTTAACAGCTGAGCAACTCCTGCCATCAGCGTGAACTCCAGATGCCTTCCAGGACCTTCCTGGTTGGATGTGGGACCGATCCTCAGCCTCGTCTGCTGCCCTTCCATCTCCACTCGCCACAGTTAACTGCTTGGAACCTTGCTGGTGAGCGGCCACCTCTCACGGCCCCTGGGCCTTGGCACCCAGGGGTCCCTTGGGCCTGCACTTCCCACGGCCATGGTGCCAGCTGCACTTCTCCACCTGGAGGGCGCCTAGAGGAGAACATGTTGGAACCCGGAGAATTTGACAGAAACAAGTTGCCCCTCTGTCCATGGCAGAAAATGAAGCTTGCACTGACTTCCAAGTTAGAGGCCCTCTTTCCAGTCCATCCCTCCCCTCTGATGATTCCTCTTCAGTTTCCTCAGGAGGCTGCTCTCCGTCTTGGTGATGCCCAGAGTTCAATCCTGGAGTCTCTTCTCCTTTTGTTTTCTTCAGACAATTTCGTCAGCTATCATGACCTCCATTACTGCTGGTTTCTCAGTCTTTGTCTCTGGCCTAGATCTCTATCTCCAAACTCAAATATCAAACTGACCATTTTTCACATATTCTACATGGATACAGACATGTGCATGCATGGGTGGGCTCATATGGCTTTGTGGAGATACAAATCACTTGCGTACAAGGCACCCACTTAAAACATGCAACTAAATGTCACTTAGGACAACAGTCACAATCAATTTTGTAACATTTTCATCACTCCAAAAAGTTCTGCCCACTGGCAGCCACTGCCCACCCCACATGCAACCCCGAGCCCTGGATGACCACTTTCTGTCTCCGTAGATTTGCCTCTTTGGGGCATTGCTCAGAATCACATACTATGTGGTCTTTTGGGAATTACTAGCTAATTTTACAAGTTGATAATCTGTTATTCTGATTCTTCCCTCTTGTCTTTCATTAAAATCCTAATATGATTATCATTACATATTACTATATATTAGATCTTTTTAAATTCTCCTATTCCCTTTAGAAGTCAATCCAGGAAGAAAAACGAAGACCAAGGAAAGACAGGTAATTGTCATTTCTAGATTTCCATGAGTCATTTTGTTCAAACAAAAATATAAATCCATATGTTCAAATTCAAAATCATATTTTATGTGGATACATTCAGGAAGAAGTGTGCTCTCGAAATGTTTATATAGTAAATGTGTAGTGTATATGTAATTTATAAGGTCTGGTCTATTGTGAATATATTGAGCCAGGACTATATGAAATAGTCACTGAGAACTCAAATATGTTTTGAATGAATTATACTGTCCCAATGTAGAATTTGCTTTCCTCAGCACACTGAATGATTTTAATTGGGGGATTTGAACATGCCCATACCCACATGTTTCCCTCCTCTGAAATCATTTTATTGTTGTTGTTTGTCTTTTAACATGTCAAGTCTCATGTTTTATAATTCTTACAGGTTTGTTTGTGTGTCCGGTAGGTGTGGCACATTTAACTTCCTATGATTCTCTTTTTTTTTTTTTTTTTTTGGTGCCAGGGATCGAACTCGGGACCTTGTGCTTGTGAGGCAGATGCGGTGCCACTGAGCTAAATCCCCGGCCCTGATTCTCTTTTTCTATCATATTTCAGTCTATCTTACTTTACTGTTTGAATATGCATCACTGTTTTAATCAGGAGTCACGTCAGCTAATTCTGAGGCAGTGGGAATAATGAAAGAAGTTTCTTCTGTTAAATGTGAGGAACACAGAGTTCCCTATGCACGAGTCAGTCACCTTCTAGAAGCTCAGTTACAGATTGGGATCTGTGACTTTTAAAGACATGTTTCCTGGTAGATTTCCAAAGCTGTTTACCTCCAAAGAAGTTACATCAAATTACAGGTGCTGAGCGCACAGGGAGAACAATTTGGGCCTGGGTACTCTAAGACTCCTCAGGGCTCAGGACACGTCCCCGTGTACACAGCATATGCGGGACTTAAAATCTCACACAGTGCTTAATCCCCTAATGAAGATGCCAGAAGGTTACCTGTGAAAGAGGTCAGTTAAGGCCATGAAACCCTGTGTGTGCAGGTACTGGTAGAAATAAAGTCTGCATATGTTTTGTGGTCGTGCATAAAGGCCAGCTTTTCTGGTTGGCCCCAGGGCCATTTGTGAGTACTGATGGAGACTGGCCAGACTGAGACCCATTACCACTCTCTGTCCTGTAACTACCAGTTCCGTGCCAAGTTCAGCCCCCTCAGACCCGGGAAAAGCTGCTCCTGCAGCTAACACTGTGCAAGGTAAGAAGTAAAAGGCTCGCCTTTCTTTTTAATTTTAGCACATACTGGTTTTGCACATCTCAAGACTTCTCTCACTTTTTGTTGACATGTATGTGTTAACTCTTAAGTTATAGTAAATACTTCAAAAGAAGAAAGCGAGTGTCCTGTAAGTGTGAGCAGCACACTAGACTGATGCCATGGTGTGTTTATTTGTTCATTTGCAGTCAGGGAAAATTGTTAGATTTGGAAGATTTCTATTACAAGGAGTTTTTGCCCAGTCACTCTGGACAGAAGGACCACGCCCCTAGTTGGAGAGAACAAAGCCCAGGGCGGGAGCTCCGGAATCAGAACTTCAAAGCTGACGAAAGGTACTAACAAACAGCTTGAAGTACAGCATGTTCAGCTTTGTGCTCTAATCCACTTGTTTTATGTGTAGACTAACGACACCGCACTCTTACTGCATGTTGCATCATATGAGTGAAATGTTGCTTAAAAGTAAAATCATAAGTATTGTAGTATCATAATTGGGCATCCCAGTTTTCCTAGCAAAACCCAGGTTTATGCCTGTTTTCTTGCTGTAACTGCAACCCCTTTTTAAAGTATTTCAATTTGTATAATAAACTACATGGCCACCCTAATTATAACCAAATCTACATACCAAATCTAAACTCTATGTTAATCTCTAAAGAGTGTTTTAGTTGTCGCTATCTTAATTAGGCTTGTAATTTCTTAGAATCAGGGATGTCAGGGCAAAAATGTTTTGGAGAAAAAGTCATACAAAAATATGTATTTTCAATTTGATTTCTTATCTTATCATCAATTTTGTGATGTTAACTTTGCAGTTCATTTACTACTTTGCGGTTCATTTACTCCCTCACATCCATCCCTTCCCCAGTGTGACCTGAGCATTAACAGCACAGGTTTCAGAGTCAGACATTCTTAGACTTGGATCCTGATTAGGCTACTTAGTTGAGTGACCTTACTCATGTTTCCTGACCACTCGAAGCCCTGGTTTCCAAATCTGTAAGCAGATTTTCTAACTGCTTCACTCTATCGTTGTAGAGATTAAATGAAATTATAAAGCACTGAACACTCTATATGGCATAGGGGAGGTATTCCATAAATAGTGGCTATTCTCATCTTTATTTGCTTTTCCAGAATCTACCTGAACTATGATTTCTACCCCTTATCTCCAAAAAAAAGATGTAGTCTTCCATCTTGGAATCAAGACTATGACATGTGGGAGCTTAGAGATGGCCCAGTCTAACCACTTGGTTTGGGAGAACACCAAGTGCCAGAAAGAGTCAATGATTTGTCCAATTAAATGACTGTAGTTAGTGAACTATAATCCAAGAGTTTTCACACTCTGCTCAGGTGCTTTTCACTGACTGCCTCCTTTCCATCTGAAGAGCCCATTCGGTCCCCAATATATTCCTCCTCTTTTTCCCACCAACAGGTACACATGCTATAAAAGCACTGTGTCCCTGAGATACCACCACTTGCCCCAGCGATGTCTGTGCTCATGTATTTAGTATCCACTAGCATAAGAATACCGGCAGCTAACATTGCTAGAGTGCTTACTTTTTCCTGGGCACTATGCTTTTATGCCATTTAATGTTCACAGCAACTTGGTGGAGCAGTTACTCTTATTTCCCTATTTTATAGATGTCAAGGCTAAGTCTACAAAGTTTAATGACTGCAAATAGCCACTTATATAACAAGTGATGGGGCCGGAAAATTTAACTAGGGTATTCTCTGAGTTTAGACCCAAAGACTTTAACAACTTGCCATGGCCACTTTATGCAAAACACAGTGCTGGGCATTTAAGAACACAAGAGTGCATAAGAAGAGATCCTTACATTCAAGGAGCTTGACACTAGAGGAGAAGAATACAGTATTGACATAAGAAAGCCACAAGGCAACTCCAAGCAGGGAGTTGTCTAAGCTAAGAAAGACTGTGGAGACAAATCAATCAAATGCAGTGAGTGAAACTTGGTAAGTTCCTTGGTTTAAAACAGGAAACCAAAACACAACAGAAAATGGCCCTAAAAAACATTTTAGGGCAACTGGAGACATTTGAGATTAGAGTATAGGGTGGACGATGTTATTTCAGAAAGAGAATCTTTATGTGTAAAGAAATATACATGTGTGCCCCATCTCTGCGCATGTACACACACACACACACACACACACACACACACACACTGGGAAAGACAGACAGACAGACAGACATGCCATCACCCAGGGAGATATGAGTAGGCCTGGAAATAAGGGACAAGAGCAGTGATGTACTGAGTGCCTCGTGAAGTTTTTAAATTGACTAATAAAAATTGTATACATATATGATATAGAACATGATGTTTTGAAATATGGACACATTATGGAATGGTTAAATCAAACTAACATGTGCATTACCTCACATACTTACTTTTTTGGTGATGAGAACACTTAAAATTTACATTTTTAGCAATTTTCAAGTGTACAATATGGTTTTACCTACAGTCACCACGTAGTAAAATACATCTTGTGAATATTCCTGCTAACGGAAATTTTGTCCTCTTTGACCAAGGTGTCTCCAGCTCTCTGCCCCTAACCCCTGATAAGCACCATTCTACTTTCTGCTTCTATAAATTTGACATTTTTTAATTCCAAGTGCAAAAGAGATCATGTAGTATTTGTCTTTCGGGGCCTGGCTTATCTCACTTGGTGTAATGTCCTCCTGGTTCATTCATGTTGTCACAAATGACAGGAGTCCCTGTTAAGGTGAACAATGTTCCATTGTATATAATAAGCACATTTCTGTATCCATTCATCCACTGATGCATTGATAGACAATTATCGATCCCACACCTTTTTATGAATAATGCTGCAATGATCATGGGAGTGCAGGAATCTCTTTGAGACGCTGCTCTCATTTCCTTTTGATATTTGCCTAGTCGTGGGATTTGGGGTCATATGGTGTATACATACATTTTTGAGGAGTTCCCGTATTGTTTTCTGTAATGTCTGTACTATTGAATTCCCACCGACAATGTGCAGGGGCTCCTTTTTCTCATCATCTTCAACACTGGCCACCTTTGACTTTTTGAGCAAAGCCATTCTAGCAGCTATGACCCATACCCCTCAGGATTTTCACTTGCATCTCCCTGACGATTACTGAGGTTAAGCATTTTATTTTCTTTCATACCGGGGCTCAAACTCGGGACCTTGCGCTTGCGAGGCGGGAGGCAGCACCACTGAGCTAAATCCCAGGACCAGGTTAAGCATTTTTTAAATATACTTGTTGCCATTTGTATGTTTTCTTTTCAGAATATCGCTAAGATATTTGCCTGTTTTTTAATTAGGTTGTTTTCTTACTATTGAGTTATTTCAGTTCCTTTTGTATTTTGAGTATTAACCCCTTATCAGATTACAGTTTGCAAATATTTCCTCCTATTCATGTGGAATCTCTTCATTATTCTGATTGTTTCCTTTGATCTACAGAAGGTTTGCAATTAGGTATAATCCCATTTTTTTGGTTTTTCTCCTGTACTTTTGGGGTCATGTCCAAAATATTATTACCAGGCTAGTGTTGAGAATCTTTTCCTCTGTGTTTTCTTCTGATTAAACTGAAATTTCAGTTTCAGCTCTATGTTTAAATCTTTAATTCATTTGAGTTAATTTTTTTTTGGTCAAGATTTCTTTGGCTATTCAAGATCTTTTGTGGTTTCTACAAATTGGGTTTGTTTCTCCTAGTCTGTAAAAAAAAAAAAAAGTTGGAATTTTGATAGAGATTGCATTGAGCTTGTTACCAACATTAATTCTTATAGTCCGTGAACTGGATATAGTCCCATTTATTTGTATCGTCTTCAGTTTTTTTCATTAATGTCTTATAATTTCAGTGTACTAATATTTCACCTTCTTGGTGAATTTATTCTAAGTGATTTGTATTTGCAGATACAAATCATTGCCTTAGTTTCTTTTCCAGAGAGTTCTTTTCTTTCAGAGATTGTGAATAAATAAAGGTGGTGGCAGGTACTCGGTCGGTGGAGAATGACATCGAAGGGCAGCAGGAGGCTGACTCTTCCTTCTCCTTCTAGATGGAACTGGAGGCTCTCTGTCCGGGAGACTGAGAGGTGGGGTGCCAAGGGGATACCCAGGCTCTCACTGTGGCAAGGAGATATAGGGAGAATGAAAGGAGAAAACAGCAAGGTGGAACAAGAGCGCTTCAGCTAAGGATAGGAGAACTGTGTGAGAAGCATCAGCAGCAAAGGCAGAGTAGGAAAGGCCTGAGATTTGGGCCTGTAGCCTGCGTTCAGATCCTCACTTCCTTCCTTACAAACTGTATCAACAAGAATCAGTCTAGAAGCAGAGGATGCCAAAAATGTAATCCTGTGATGTCCTTAAAATCCTGTAACGTACCTGGCATGTGGTAACTGCATATTCCTAAATTCTCATATCACAGAACTCAAAGGAGAATGTCCCACCAATACCCAGCATGATCCTTTCGAAGGCTTTCCCTGTTGAGTATCCACAGAGTGCAGGATGGTTGAAAGACCTTGCCAAAAATACATTTTTCTTTTAATTTCCTAGTAAGAATCCACTAGGATAAAAGGTTTATTGGACCTACAGGCAAAGCTCCAGCCTTCACCTTTCCTCATCATCCCTACTCATTTGTATACACCCTTGGTGACCCAGCCCCTTCTCCCTCAGTTATATTCAGCTGCGAGCCCCAGTGCCAGGAAAATCCAACTCTGCATAATCTTGGCTGCACGTGACAGGAGATAAGCTCTTCTAATCACACTCAAAATACATATCTGGCCACACAATATAAATAAGGGTTCGGCAAACCCTTAGAGCTACTTTGCAATGCTACCTTTCCCTAAAAAATCTATTGTTTCACTTTCCCAGTCCATCCTTTCGGACTTCCTTCTCTCCCTTCTGCTCCTCAGCCCCTCATTGCTTTCAGCTGTTACCCTGAGAAAACTGCAGCAAAGTTCAGATGCACACTTCTACCACCAGCTCTGTCAGCCTTGCTGCTGTTCACCCATGCACTGCCCTCAGCATACCGTGCACGACCTGTACGGCCTGCACCCTAAATCCAAGCCTCCCATTGTGCGCCGGACCCAAGCCCTTCCACCTATGTAAGAACATCATCCTGCACTTGTCCCCTCTCTTGTTTACATCTCCAGTGTTTTATCAAATCATCAATTTCTGGCAATCGGGATCCATCCCAACAAACAACCTCACCCAGTCCTCCTTCGGGACTACTCACTTCCCTCTTCTCCCTGACAGTGAGAGTAACGTGGAGGGCACTGCCGCCTCCGCAGCCTCTCTTCCTCCCTCGAGCCACTTCACTCAGGTTTTCATCCCTACCTCTCCACTAACACTGCACCTGCCAAAGTCACCAGTGGCCCGCATCCTGTCCCACCCAGGATCCATCCTCAGTCCTCTCTCTCTCCATTTGCAGCATTTAAGGCCTATATTTGCTCTTGTTTTCTTTAAACCCTCTCTTCACTGGCTTCCAGGACTGGACTTCTAGTTTGCCTCTTGCCTTGCTGGCTGCTTTTCTGTAAACTGTTGTCCTTTGCTGATCCCTCCTCATCTCACAATATTGGAGTGGTCCAGTCTTTTACTCTTTTGAGTCAGCATAGACTGCCATGACTTTAAATATCTTCTAGGTACTTCAATTTCCTGAACTGAAATCTCTACCCTACATTAGGACGCATGCATCCAACCGGCTCCTCCATCGGTATCTCCTCTTCAATATTGAATCAGTGTCTCCAGCTTAACCAAAACTAAGATCTCCACCCTCCCCCGCCTCTCTGCAACCTTCCCCATCTCCTTAAACACCTCTGTCCTTCCAGCCTTTACGCCACGACCTGGGGGTAGTCTTGATTTCAGACCTTCACTCCCCAATCCACCGGCAAACCCTCCTGTCGGTAAGTGGAGAATGAATGAATCTACAGGCCTGCATTTTAGGGAGCACCTCACTTCCCCAAGCAAAGTGCACAATCAAAAGCTAACGGTTGGTGGGGGGTTTTTCCCAGGTAAAGTTGGCTTGGCAGCCTCATTAAAAATACGAAAACATTGGCTAACAGGGTGGACGCCTCCTCCACCATTAGCAGGAGGGTTGGTCAGATTTAGTGGGATGTTTTAAAGAAATCTTCCAGCTGTTTTAAAAATCCAAAACGTGAGTGTCTACTTGGGCACCTTGAGATTCCCTGTTTGACCAAATAGTATTTAAAATTAAGGTACAAAAATAAGTATTTGTGTATTGGCTGTGTGTGATTCCCATCCAAGGAACCTTGCCTTTCTGGTCCACACCTCTGCGCTCTGCTTAGCTGTCACGCACAGAGTCCCAAGTTCCATCCTGCAGACCTGCTGAGGGATCACAGCAAACGCCTGAAACCTGACAGCCTTTCTGAAATGCCCAGGTCTCGGGGCTGTCCGGGCGAGGTGGGCGGCCTAATGCCCGCGGTTCTGACGCTGAGGGGTCTCTGCAGGTGCGCGGGAGCCCAGAGCCCCGAGGAGGAGGCCTGCGAGCCGGCGGCCAGCCCCTACGACTACCGGAGGCTCCTGCGCAAAACCTCCCGACGCCGGCGCCTGGTCCAGCAGCTGCCGCCCAGCCCCTGAGCAGCCACCGCCCGGATCCCCGTAGCCTGCGGGGCCACGGCCACCAGAGCGGTGGAGCTGACCTTCGCTGGCTGCCCAAGCACTGCTCCCTCCAGGCCGGGCCATAGAGGGCCTGGAGCGCTCAGAGCCCTTGGGGGCTCCGGGCCCCGCCCTGGGGCTCCGTTCTCTCCTCTCACCAGCCCCAGTGAGGGCAGCTTTGCCCCAGGCTCCCTAGGGCGTCTCTTTGTTCATTTGTTTGCAACCGCTGTGGAGGACCCACCTGCACCTAAGCTGTCGCCCGCCCCTCTTGTCTCCTGGGTGACTTCAGAGACACCTTCCCTCTTCAGACAGCTTTCTCAGAGCTAGGACGGGCACTCAAGGCTGGGCTGAGTGCTAGAGCAGAGCCCGGGAGAGGCGGGGGGCGCTGAAGACGAGGTTCCTCTCAGACTCGAGCTTCCCTTTCCTTGCTTGTTAAGACTGCTAAATAAAGGCAGCGCCTGGACAGTGTGGCTTGCACCCTGGCCAGCATTTTCCCTTCGAGGCTGGGCTTGGGGACACAGCCGTGGGAGGGGCAGGGAGGGGGCCGAGGGCCTGCTGCTCCACCAGCACCCCCACCCCCAGCCCACCATACAAAACACACACAGGCTACCCCCCCCCGTACCTGTCATACAAGCAAATCTCCAGACCGGCCCGCGCGCGCGCGCGCGCGCGCGCACACACACACACACACACACACACACACACGCCTTCCCAGCCACTGTGGCTTCCTTTGTCCGGCCTGGACAAATGCCGGTCCCATCCTGGAGGGAACTGTTCGATTTTAGCCTGTCCTGCTCTGAGGCGGTGTCCACTGCTCCAAACTGGGTGTTACTGAAGGGAAGGGCAGCGGGTGGGCGGAGGTTTGCGTTTGTCCATTGACTGCAACTTATTTTATAAACCGTGGTAAGCCCTTCAATGGATGATGCTGGGGTCTACGCAGCCGGCCAGGGGGAGAAAAGGTGGTGAAATGGGTCCACGGGCAACTGAACCAGAAGGGCTCTGTCCACACTGGGGCTTGTCCCTTCTGCAGGCGCCCTGGCTTCTGCACCCCGGAAGCAGCCTGAAGACTAGGGAGGTGAGAGCGTCCACAGCCGGCCCATAGCTTGCTCGCCAGCTATAATATTCTCTCCAGAGTGAGCTCGGAAAGCTCCCCAGGGAGGGATCTGTGCAACCCAGTCTTCTCGCAGAGGAGGCCCGGACAAACCGAGAGAGCTCAGCTGAGGCCAGACCAACCCAGGTGCGCCCAGGCCCCGCTGCTTCCCCGGGTTAGCGCCACCCCCTCGCTGGGTCGGGGGCTCACTCCCTGGCTGTGCGAAACGCAGGCTGGGTCTGGCCCTGCATGCAGGACATCAATGCAGCAGGTCCCAAGGACACGGGGCGCACGGCGGCCGGCCTCCTCCACCTCCACCCACCTGTCGCCCTGCACTGGAGCCAGCACTGGCCACGTGGCTGCCCGCCCGTCCTTCCGTCCCTACTCCCTTCCCGGCAGCCGCTCCCCATCGCTGGGTGGTGAGGCGAGCCTGGGCCTCTCCCGAAGCGCCTCAGTCCGCCCTCCCACTGCAGCCGCCCCACCACAGGCTGGGAACCAAAAGGCTGGCCCTGGGTGGAATGTTGCCTGTGTCTGTTCTTGTTTTCTTTTGTATTTCTTTGCGGTTTTCTTCTTTCCTTCCATCGCTCCCGCTTTCTCTGTCCCTCCACACAGGGGAAAACACACCGGATACCGTATTTTTCTTCTGCTGGGTCTGTTAGATGTTAGATGTTAGAGCTGTGGACCAGAAGTAGGTCGTCCAAGGAAACCACTCCCTTCAGGCCTCGAGCGTGGGGTCTCTCTTCCCTCAGCCGAGGAAGGGCCTTGGAAAGCTTTTTCCTGCCTTCCCTTTGCCTTTGGTGGCTGCCTCCTTTGTGAACTAATGACTGTAATTATTACCTCCCGCTCTCTTTTGTGAACGCCAACCCCAAGCCGGGGTGGGGGGTGATGGGAGAAGAGAAATTCTTTACAAAGCAAATTGCTGTCCAGGGAGAGACCCTTGGAAAGACGAACGAGGACCTCCATTTGCATCTGAAATAGGGGGTGTTTAAATTTTTTAAAAAATTGTAAATCCCATCATCAGATTCAATGTACTCTAGAGCTGCAAGATTTAATGGCATTTAAAAAGTAGCGATTAAGTCAAAAAACGGAAATTCAGGTGCTGCGATTTCTACCTTCCTCTTGTTTCAATCTATTTATTTTGGAGCTTTTTGTGTGTGTATTAAACGCTTGTTTTTAAGACTGTATTTACCGCCACTCATCCATTGTGTGATAGATAGATATAGATATAGATATAGATATAGATTTCTGCAACCCCAGCCTGTTGGCTTAAAGCGAAATACTGTATCCGCCGGACTTGGTGAGGGTTTAAACAAAGAACCAGGCAGGCTCTGAGTCGTACCTGCGAGGCTGGAGCGAGGTTGGGCGGTTCTCTCTCGCAGCTCAGACTGCCGACCCCGGTGGCCCGCTCAGTTCGTTCGTTACCTCTGTCACCTGCAGCGTCTGAGCTAGGAGGGCTGCCCAGGGAAGCCCAGCGGGCCCAGGTCTCACTCCGAGGCTCTGTCGGGCTTCCCGACCGAGCCTTGGCGCCCCGCGGGCCCCAACTGTCCTCCGTGCTGGACCCTCGGGCATCCTGGGGCTCCCCCGAGGTCGCCTAGCTCCGGCACGTGGGGCGAGGGCAGAGCTTGGCGCCCAGAGCCTGCCGGAGGGCGAGACACCTGAGGCCGCTCCCGGCCCGCGCCGCCCCTTCCACGAGGGTCAAGGAAGGGCTCCCGCGGGGCCCGCCAGCGCGGGAGAGGTGGGCCCCGCCGCCCCAGCCGCCTCGAGGCAGCCCACGGCGCGGGAAGCTCTCGCCCCGCCCACGCGGCCGCCCCGAGCCCGGATCCCGCGCGCCGCAGTGACGGCCCCGCCCCCGCCCCGCCCCGCCCCTTCCCGGCCTGCAGTCCCCGCTCCACAGCGCTGCAGCGCGGGCTTTAACCGCCTCGGTCGCCGGCCGGTCACGGCCTGGACGGCGGAGCCGCTGCGGACGGAGTCGGAGCGAACTCGGGGCTCGAACTCGGGCGGGAGCTCGGAGCCGGGACAGCGCCCCGCCGGCCCCGCCGCTCCGCCCCGCGCCTCGGTCCCGGCCCCGCTCCGCTCCGCCGATGGCAGCCCCGGGCTCCGGCTTCTGGTCCTTCGGGGCCGAGGACGGCGCCGGGGACCCCGAGAACCCCGGCCCAGGTAGGACGCGGGCCTCGCGCCCGGGGGCTGCGGGCCGCGGGGCTGTGCGAGGGGAGGCTGGGGCGGGCGCCGGCCGGACCGCGCCGGGGCTGCGGAGGGGACCCGCCCGCTGCCCGCCGCCTCTCTTTGCAGCCCGAGCCTGGTGCCAGGCGGCCCAGAAGTTCACCGGCGGCCTCGGGAGCAAGCTGTGCGGTGAGTGCGGGCGCGGGCGGCGGGCGGCGGGCGGCGGGCGCGGGCTGACGGCGGCGGGCGCTGACGGCCGCGTCCCCGCAGCCCTGCTCCTCGGGGACGGGCGGCGGGCGGCGGGCGCGGGCTGACGGCGGCGGGCGCTGACGGCCGCGTCCCCGCAGCCCTGCTCCTCGGGGACGCCGAGCGGCCGGCGGACGGCGGCGGGCGCGGGCCTCCGCGGGGCTCTGCCCGGAAGGCCGCCTGCGCCTGCGCCTGCACCTGCGAGCGGAAGCCCTGCGGCTGCGGCCACGCCGCGGTGGACTACGCGGGTCTACGCGCAACAGGTAAGGCCGCCCGGGCCGGGCCCCCGAGTCCGAGTCCGAATCCCCCTGGGCCCCCCGGCCCGCGAAGCCCGACCTGCCGGGGTCCTAGGGCCGCGGACCCGTCTGCTACTGCTGCGGATTAACAGAGACTCCGCTCGGCTCGCGTGAGTGCTGCGTGGTTTCCCGCGCGCTCACACCGCCTGGCACACTCGCCTGCACACTCGCAGACACGCTCAGATGCGCACGCCGATTGTGGAGCAGCGCGTCTGCAGCGGGCTGGCCGAGAGCTACACCTCCAAGCCGGCGGCCGCTTTGCCCGAGGGCAGATGTTTCTCCAACCTCCCCGCCTGGAAGGAAGGGTCTCCTTCGTCATCCAGGGTCTCTACTGAGAAAAATGCCGAGAACAAACTCCCGTGACCTCGAGGAAACGAGGCACGGTCCCAGCTTGGGGAAGGGGACACGAAGCAAACAGTATCTTAGGAATTCAAAGGCTGGAATTAATGTGGCGAAAGGAAATATTGTAGTTTCTCTTCATTCACAACTTTGTCTTTGAAAAATGCTTCCCCTCACAGAAAATACTCTGCGTTTCCAAAAGCTGCCTTTTAATGTAAAATCTCTCCATCCAACGGAGATTGCTGGGTAGGGATCGTGCCTTAACCTGTCCGCGGTAAAATTAAAAGGTGTCGTTTCCATTCCGCTCTAGATCTGCTGCCAGCCTGTGATGGAGAAAGTCCCACTTTGGCGTTTTTGCAAGATGTTATGGACATTTTGCTTCAGTATGTGGTGAAAAGTTTCGATAGATCAACCAAAGTCATTGATTTTCATTATCCCAATGAGCTTCTGCAAGAGTATAATTGGGAATTGGCAGATCAGCCGCAAAATCTGGAGGAAATTTTGACGCATTGTCAAACAACTCTAAAATATGCAATTAAAACAGGTATTGTCCAATCAAAAATAATAAAGCTTTTTTTCTTATACGATTTTTATATTTTTCTATACGAATGTTTTCTGTTTGGGGATTACTGGCATATTCAAAATGAGAAAGTTATTTTCATCATTTAAAATGGTCATTAACAGATGATAGAAATTAAAAGCACTTTTTCTTATTTATTGTTAATGCACCAAAAGTTGAGAATACCAGAAACATTATCTTAGTAGAAATAATCAGGCTGTATTTGGCCAGGGAGATTATCTGTTGGTGTAGAAGCAACCATTTGTCAGCAGAGGCCAGTAGAAGAGACCCAAAAAGGAGAAAGAAAGGGAATATGGAAATGAAAGCCCAAAAGGCATGGTACAGACACAAGCCAGAATTCCAGTGTTGTGCTAATAATTTCCTTGCCATTGAACTGGTCAGAACCCGGACAAACCATCCTGTGTAATCATTGAGCTAGAGGTACGATGTGGCATTGTCTCAGACGCCAAGACTTCGGACTTGAATACCAGGCGCTCTCTCTCTCTCTCTCTCACACACACACTCACACTCACACTCACTCACACACAATACAGACTGCGTTAGCAGTCTAACCATGTTCCTAAGGGTGTGGGTCCCTCAGAGCTATTGTGTATGCAAGATAAAGAAAGGGGGAAGGGCAAATCGATATCCTTAGGGGCACATTTTTTAAAACCTATTTCATGGTCTATTGATTTTTCACAATATTCCTGTGGTCTGTTCATTTTGTACCCCTGGGCGTAACATTTATTTGGGTACATTCCGAGCTTTCTATTTATCTACACGAAGTCAACCATTTATCTACCCAGATCCTGATTACCCTGCTTTTTTCTACGTTGTCTCTAATCATCCTGGCACTTTGTGGCCCGGCACCTCATTAAAGCAATAAAAATAAATATGAGTTAATTTCTGAGGGAGAGGGGAGATCTTGTAGATTTGAACTGATCTGTAGCTTTTAAAAGATTTGCTAGCAAATAAAAATGTGAAATATTATGTAAACATTATCAATGGAAACAGCATATTTTAAATGGCAGTTTTTACTTATGAATTGTCAGTATGTCTTAGTCTAATCCACAACAAATGTTTAAGAATTTTACTGTGACATTTTTAGTTTTATCTTTCTTTTTCACATTCTTTATATCAACAGAGAAGAAAGGTATGCATAGAATCAGATTTGGGAAATTGATTTGTCGGATTATTATCCACTTTTGAAAGACTATCGACTTAGAGCCAGGTACACAGGAAAAGAAATTTTAACTTGATGATTCTGTAGAGTATGATTTTAAAGATGTATTAGAGATCATCCTCAGTGAATGTTCCTGTAGAAGCCACGTGACTGCATACCTGGCACTAAAAGATGCCCCTCCCCCTCCACCACTCGGTTTGTAGGTGCAAACCTGAGCAATGCTTTTAATTCAGTTTTCTTGAGCCTATTCTTACCTAATGCCTAAACATGTCAATTATAAACGCTACCAAATCAAAAAGAATCCATAGAAATATTTTGCACCTTCATTCTGAAAAGCTGGGTGAGTTTAAAATGCAATTGAAAGGGTTAAGATAATGGGAATTGCAAGTCCATGAAAGTAATATTCTGTCTGTTGATGTTCTATTTACCACTGGGGAAGGAGGGGCCAGTTCCATACTTAGATTTTGCCATAATGCTTGTTAAACTTTGTCGAGTGTTGGCTTAATGCATTTTATTTAAAGTTCAGGTAAAAATCTGATGGGTTAAGTAGGATTTCTAAGCAAAGCATGTCAATATTTTCAATATTTCAATATTATTTATAATGTATTTAGTCTCTAGCCTTCTCCAAATAGCATTTCAGAAAGTTAACAGCAACTGCCTTTTCTCTTCAACCAGCAAGTTTATAGATTTTTATTCTCTGTTGTGTTTGTCAACTAGTACTGTCCTTGAAGTAATTACCATCCCTGCTACCATCCTACACTGTTCTGATCCTTGGGAGATTCTTGTATAAAAATCCTTCCTATCACCTGCATCCCAGAGTCTTCGACCTAATTTCCATTTGGACCCTCCACTCAGAAGTGAGGGAGACTGCTAAGAAGCAGCCTTCATCATTTACTAGAATTACTTTGTAAAGAAATGTTGGACCTGGAAACTTCAGGAATGATAAGATTCTGAAAGTTACCATTTGCAGGATTAGCTGGGTTACCTGATCATTGCTGTGCCTGGTGATGGGGGTAGGGATTAATATAATCTTAAATCTTTAACCCACAAAGGGAATTGCAGCCCTGATGGATGAAAGTGTCCCAGTGTAGACTGGCGGTATATAAAGACTAGCTCAGTTACCAGGGCTTCCCGACCCTCCTCAACTGATTGTGAGCATCAAGTCAGAGTTGCCAGAGACTGCTGTTCTATCCGTCGGTCCTTGTCTCTCTGGCTTTGCGGGCCGGCATAGCCAGCCTTCTCCTTCGCTGCACTGCCCAGGGTGCCGGGCTGCTGGGACAGCTCCCAGCTGGAGCTCTGTGGCCCTACATTTGCCGACAGCACTGGGAGGCAGCCTGAGGGGCCACCGGTCAAGAGCAAATGTAAGGAGGGGAATGTTTCGGCCCCAGCAGAGGGGATGCTATTCTGACCTGCCGAATATCCCTCCACATTTCCACTCCATTATCAGTGAGTGAAAGCTTTGAGGCAGGAGAGATTGAGGTGAAATAGCAAACCAAGGTCAAATATATACAGAGAGACGAGAGGGCAGCCGTTGAAGCATCAAACTTGTTCTCACTGTTTACTCAAAACGCTGGTCAGGATGAGGCAGAGTCAGTGCCCTGGGACACAGCACACACCTTGGAATTCTCCTTACAGTACACACTTAGGGGTTGCCAGAGGTTTTTGTGCCAGAGTTTGCATAGAGTAAATGTTGCGATTTTAGGCACCAGTTCATCCAGAATATGCATGAGCGTGTATGCGGGAGTAGATTAAGGGACGGATTTGTTAATCCTTATTAATTTCCTCACTTTTAAAAATGGCTTAGGGACAGAAATGAAGGGGCAGCGGGAGGGAGAAGTTGGCTGTGATTTCAGGGGTGAGCGCTAATACAATGAGCCAGTGAGGCAGAGAGGAATGGGGGATTGTCCAGATGGCAGCGGCAGTGGCAGCAGCCTAGAAGGGCTGTGCGCTCTCAAATGGGTAAACTGATAGACTCGGCCTCAGAGGGCCAGGAAAAGGGCAGAAAAGGTAGGCGCCCTGGTGTGAGGCCATACCAGAGGTGATAGAACAATACGGCAGAACGGACAAGACGTGCACAAAGCTCACGCCTCGAAAGCGTGCTGTCTCTCAGCTCCTATTTTCTCCCAGTGTCCACCTCCCAGCCACGTGCCCCGGCTGATAAGAAGCACTCCAGCCTAGAAGATAAGGCTGTGTTGACTTTGCTCCCTGCTTCCCCATTGCCTCCCTTTATCTTGTCTTGCCCTGCTGTGGATGAGAGACTGTCAGGTCCCAGCCCCCTTGCAGTAAGTCCAGTAAGTGGCAGGTACCTTTTTATCACATGCTATTTCCATAACTGCCCATCTTCCAAAAATGCTGTTGCTAAGCAAAGCATAGATTTATTGATAGGCTTCTATGAGACAGGATGAAGAGACATAACCCTAATGAGATACCTATAATCACATTTTACACAGCAGCCCCAGGAGTGTGTGAATGTCAGCCCATTCAGAGAATTTTAGAGAAATCCGGAAGTTAATTAGATAAGCCTTGCTAATGGACTGATCAGTCCATTGAATATACAGTCCTGTATCTTGTTGACAAGACAGTAACATGTTTTCCTTTAAATCTCAACTGTGAGAGAGCTCTGCTGTTTATAATCAAATATTCAGACGGAGAAGAACGGGTAAGAATTAGCTTTGTCCATGCCATCTTCATACTCTGATCACCTTGAATCCAGGGCAAATCACTCAGCAGAGTGTCCTATTTTCTCATTTTTGTCCTGTCTTTTGTCATCATCAGCCATTTGTCACTGGTGTTATGAATGTTGGCATGCCTGGCGGATGTCACGGTATGACTGATTCCCAGGACAAAGCACAAAGCAGGACTTTTAATAGCACAAATGCAAACAAGTAACTTGTCTTTGAATTGTTTTGGGTTACAGTAGCATTTTAGTTTGCAAATATATTGAAAGCATGGTAGGATAAGATCTATGTCCAGATTGCAGGCCAAATTGGTTATTTTATAGGACATGTTTAAAAGGAGATTTTTAGAGTGTGTTTTAAAAAAATACTAAAACCCAAAACAGTCTCTGTGGTTAGAGGTAGTGCTCTCTGTGCGTGTGGGTGTGTTCTTATGTACTGCATTTGTGTATGTTTGGTTTTTGAATATACATTTCCTATTCCTGAACGATTTTCAAGGTTCTTTGGCTAGAAAATCATATGTGTGAGAAGCACACATTTTTCATTGATGTAGTCCTGATTCTCTTGTTCCATTTTATTTAGGGCATCCTAGATATTTTAATCAACTTTCCACTGGATTGGATATGGTTGGATTGGCAGCAGACTGGCTGACATCGACAGCAAACACTAACATGTAAGTAGCTAACTGTGTCTTTGCATATTCCAGGATAATTATTAGTAAGATTGCATAATGTTTACCTTTTATGTGAAAATCTATTTAAATTAAGTAGCTCCTAAAATAGTGATGCCAACTTCAGAATTTTATGAGTGTTTACTCTTGTTCAATAGAAAGTAGGCCTGATGTATTTTTGATGCAGTTGAACTATACAAAATTTTTAAAATACAAAAGAGTCTGTTTTGGCATTTTGGATTTGTAATGATGTATAATCTGAAGGAGAATAAACCAGACGTTGTCTTTTACATAGGGTTACCCTAGAATGCTCTTTATTGAATAAGATAAACCACTAAGCTAATAATTAAAGCTCTTAACTGTGGGAAATGAGTAAACCTTCTGGAAGATCTTTTAGGAATCTCTTTCTGTGTAATGTAGTTGTCATAACATCTATGAGCGTAAGTTTTTAGAAAGGAAATCATTCTACAGGTATTGTAATGACAAATTATTTCTTTGAGTTACATACATAAGCTGTGGCCATTTCTGCACTGCAGGTTCACCTATGAGATCGCTCCAGTGTTTGTGCTTTTGGAATATGTCACACTGAAGAAAATGAGAGAAATCGTTGGCTGGCCAGGAGGCGCTGGCGATGGGATCTTTTCTCCTGGTATAATAACATTTCAGCTTTTCTCTGTGTTTTTCATGTGTATGATATTCCTTCCTAAGAACCTAAGAAAATTAAATATCTAGTCCATATTTCAGATTAGCTCGAATAGGCTGTGTGTTGATCAAAGAATGGGTGTTGCTAAGGGACCTGACCATGACTATGGCTCCACTCTAAGCACCCCAAGCTCCAACGTTAGTTATTTGTGTTCTAGAAGAGTGTAAACAAATGGTATTTACTTAGTACTTCCATAATCCTGCACATAGGCGATATATATATAATGTGCAACAAAGGAATATAGACTCCTAATAAGGGATTCACTCCGATATTCTCCCCAGAATGAGTGAAAGGAAAGGGTAGCCTCATTTAATAAAACATTCAGTGTTTAAGGTAACAGCTAGATGGACCTACTCAACAGGAACATATGCATCACTCTGGTCTATGAAGTAACAAAGCAGATTTATACTCGCTTTAGCGAGGGCAGAGAGCACCTGGGAGATAATCTCTTAGAGCCACAAAGGGAGTAACGATTCCTTCCACAGACTTCTTATTCCTTCGCTTCTTTATCATTTCATTTTATCTTTTCCACCTTGCCTTTTATTACCCACCATTCCACTCTAAACTCCGTTATTTACACCTCTCCCAGCCCAGAGAATCAACCTGGGTCAAGAAGCTGAGCCCTGGCTCATGGCTGTGACCCTGGCATGATGCAGAGGAGAAATAGGAGTAGGAAGGCGGTGTGGGGAGTCACTGAGCTGGAAGAAGTGCCCAACCCAGTCAGGAAAGGGGTTGTCAGTGTGCCGAGAGCCCACTGGACAGGCCAGAGCCACACCTGCCACTGTGCTAGCAAATCTACAGAGACAAGGGGATGGCGAGAGAAGAGGAGAAGGAAAATGAAAGACAGTGGCTTCAAATCCAGGGCGTAAATTAAGCATGCTTGCCTGCAAGCTCAGATCTGCTGTTTCTTTTATGTTTTTTTAAAATACATTGCACTGTTTTTTTCAGGTAGTAAAGGAAAAAGTGTTAATTAAATAGAAAGGAAAATTAGCCTTTTTTTTTTAAGTCATTGAACACCAGCTGTGATGAATCTTAAGCTAGCTTCTATTTCATAAGGAATTTAGTACCTAGTTTTCCTTTGGACTAAGTTTTTAGCTTTGTCATCATTACCTGAGATTGATGACTTGAAGGATTGTTTATGAGGAACTAGGTAAGGCTGGGGAAGCAACATCATTTCTACCTTTCCCCTGCCCTTCTGGCTGATTGTGAGAGTGAGCTGCCCCTGAGATGCTCCCCTCATCTGGCCTCTAGTTTAATGGTTCCCATGAGTGAGAGAGAATAGCTTTACCTTTTGACACTAAAAATCTGACTGATGAGTAAACCCAGGCCTGATTAACCCGAACGGCCCCAGAACCATGCACCTTGAGGAAGCATCCTCTTTGGCAGTTCTGCAAGGCTGGATGGGACCTAAGGCTTCCCCTGCACCCTCATGGACGACGGGGAGCCACCAGGTAGAGAAGACTGACACTTGATCAGGGACTTCCTTCTTTGGAGCCTAAAACCCCATGTGCTCTCCCTGCAAGAAGCAGGCTCGGGTGTAATGTAGAAGTTCCAGAGGCAGAGGGGGCAGTGGAGAACCCAACTGCCTATGTGTTCCTGCCCAGCTTTTTTACAGCATCGCAGAAGAGAAGTGGCTTCTGACATGGTTATTTGCTAACGGAGGCTTTGCCGGGTGTCACCTCCCTGTGAGACAGAAGTCTCATTCCCTGAGACTAAATGCAGAGCGTTAGGTCTTTGACGTGAACACAGAGCTCAGCGCAGTTTGACTTACACCCTCATCTGTAATGTCCAGAGGCTTCATGCTTCAGGCAAAGTCCTTTAGGACACCTAGAATAGACCTGTTTCTGTGCTGTCACCAAATCTGAGAGCCAGAGCACTCCTTGCTGCTCAGGGGGTTCCAAAGGGCAAGGACTAAGGGAAGGGGGGGAGCTCGGCACAGCCAGGACCTTTTACTGTCTGAGAAGTCGGGGCCTACAGGGCTTACTCCTCTGCCCTCGTGCTGGGTAGCACAGCGCATGCATTCGCCTTTGTCCAGGGGCTCAGAGCCTTCTGTTGTTTCCAGGGCTGCACATCTCTGCTGGAGGATGGCTGGGTTAGAGGCCTGGGAGGATAACTGCAGTAGGAGGAGCACTTTCTCCCGGGTGTCTTCCCCTTTCTGTTCTCCCTCCTTCCTCCCCCAGCCTCTTGAAGAAGAACAGGGAGAGCTGCAGTTCTGAAGGGGGCTGTCTTGTGGACCCCCCAACACTTGGCAATGTCTGTAGACATTTTGGGGTGTCACACTGGGAAGGGGAGCTGCTTGCAACTAGTGGACAGATGCCAGGGGTGATAGCAATCACCCTGTAAACCCACCCCATAAGAATTACATAGCCCAAAATGTCAGTGAGTGTGAAGATTCAGAGGCCATGAGCTGCAGTGAAAGTTTCTTTAAAATCTGACCCTTTGCCCCGCATCCTGTTGCCGCCTCTCAGGGTGGTCTGTGCTCAGAACAGCTTGGCCTGGCTTCTGCTTGTGCTGTGTTTGTGGGGTCCACAGAGTAGGGGCTGCCCTCATCTGCCTGTGAGGAAGCCGGCATCTGGGTGACAACTGCTCTGTGCCAGGTGGCCTGCCTGGATCAGAGCCCAGGGCTCCTGAGGCAAAGGTTGTAAGCCCACATGGGCTCGGCACAGAGCCCTCCTGCCCCCCAACTACCAGGAGAAAAGGCGACCCAGAGCCCCCCCCGTCAAGGCTGGCCAGGGCGTATCTCAGCACCTTCAGTATGGCTCATGGCCTGCACCTCCCTGCCATTGTCCTCATCTGCACTGATAATAATCTGTCTTTTTCCTGGATAGCAAATGCCCTAGGCTTCCCCCACAAACTGACGAAAGCTCACTTTTCTTCGCTTGTCAAGTGAGACCCGACTTGTAAGACATACACCCTTTAGGTCTCCAGCACTGCAAAAAACAAACCAAAACAATTAAAATCCAAACCCCACAAACTTTACCATAGGAAATCCCAGGCAGTCTCAAGATAACCCAGGAAAAGCAATTCCACATGGGCTTAAATTTTTCTTAGTTGAATGTTTTCCTGTAATTACAAAGAGTTTAATACAACTGTTTCCTGGGTGTCTTTAGGAGGAAAGAATTATTTTGAGGAATGAACAGATGTTTTGAGAGTATGATGCAATGGACTGGGATGTTTATCTTTCATTTTATAAAAATTACTGATTAACTGATGGCAGCTTATTCACCCCAATCCAACCACAAGACATTATGGGAACTGAAATGTAAAGAAACAACCAATCACCGTCAGGATAGAGCTGGAATTTACACGTCTCTGAAGAATGGCCACGCTCACAAACTAGGAAGGAAAGGCAAATTTGGGGGGTCGTTTGTTTTTGAGGTCATAGGACCTGAACCCAGGGCCTGTGCACTGAGCCCCCTAGGCTTGGGGGCGGGGCGGGGGAGAGTTGTCCTGGCTGGACTCGAACTTGCAATCCTGAGCCTCAGCGTCCCAGAGCGCTGGGGTCACAGGCACGCGCTGCCACAGCTGACAGACCTTTTGCTTCAGTGGCACTTCCCCTGGAGTCTGGGGCAGGGCCGTCCATCCGGCCGGCCGTGCCTCCTCTGTGCAGGTGGAGCCTCTGGGCCTGAGCTTCCCTTTGAGGCCAGCCAGTGTGATTTCCCCAGCGCCCCGAGGACTAGAGTCAGTGGAAGCCAGCAGGGCGGCTGTGCCAGGCCAGAAGGTAACCTGCGCTGCTGTGCCTCCAGGGGGCGCCATATCCAACATGTACGCCATGCTGATCGCGCGCTACAAGATGTTCCCGGAGGTCAAGGAGAAGGGGATGGCGGCCGTGCCCAGGCTCATCGCCTTCACGTCCGAGCACGTACGTGTTTCCCTGCTTTCCGAGACAAGGCTGTGCGTGGGCAAGCCTGGGGCTGGAGATGCTGTCCTCGGGGGCCTTTCCGGGGGACTCCGTGGGAGAGGGAGCAGGGAGCAGCCCAGGGCTGGGGGAGGGCCACCTTGTCTGGAAACCTCAGAATGGAGCGGAACGGGCTCAGCTCGGGCCCTCGGGCCCTGAAGTCTCCTGCGTCGTGGGTGGGAGGAAGCAAGACTGCAGCGAGGCCGTCGACTCTGGTTGACAGCCTTGGGCCCACCAGCCTGCCTGCTGAAAGTCCGCACTTCCGGCTGGCAGCCTCCCATCAAAGGCCCAGTCAGATGACCAGGTAAATCCTCCACCTCCCGGTTCCTGGAGCCCTTTAACTTTGAACTTGGACTCTGGGCCCAGATTTGTGTTCCCACGTCCCCAGGCTACTGGCCAGGCAGAGGCCAAGAGCTCTGGGCTTCCTCTTGAGCACTGGGGCACAGAACTTGATATTCTTCCCTTGGTTTTCAAAGAGCTTGTGCCATTCCTCCTAGTCCTACCCAGACATCGCAAGATGTAGCCCGGCCTGTTCGCCTCACTACCTGGCTTTGCCAGCCTTTGCGCCCAGGCCGGGGCAAAGCAGCCAATGAGCCGCAAGCCATCCTGCAGCACCTTGGGCCCAGGCCCTCCTGCCATACACCCAAGGCGCCGTTCCCTGACAGGTGTCTTGAACACCTGTCACCTGCCCTGTAATTCAGAGGAATGCTGCGTCACCATCTCTGCCTCAGAGGGCCTGGAAAATAAACTCGGAGAAAGCCAGGAAGCCTCTGATGGCAAGGCAAGGCGAGGCGGGGAGGGAAAAAAGGGGTCTGGGGAGGCTGAGGGATCCGTGAAGAGACCTCAGTTGGGAGAAGCAGGGAGCACGGTGCATCTCAGCTCTCCCTGCAGGCTCTTCCTGTTCCCTGTCTCAAGGAGGGTGCATATTTCTGCGTGTTTATAAAAAGTAAGCAGAAGGCAGATACAGGTTAGAAACCACTGGCCATGGCTCACTACTATGGCAACAGCCATGGAATGAAAGGGAGTTAATGATTATCTGTGAAAAAATCTTTTTTGAGCATCTTGTTTTAGTTACATTTTGGAGTTTTGTTAGTTTTAAAATACTCCTCAACCCAGATGGGTCAAATTTAACACAGAAGACTGCAGCCTGCAATGACCTACTGGTTTCCCTTTTATTGCCACAAATCACAAACCTAGTAATTTTGTTACAGGAAATAATACTGGAGAGGAAATATGGAATGTTATATCTCCTGACCTGTTAGCTGAATGATATGCCTGGCTCTTGTTCTCTAAAAATCGAAGAATGAGTCCTAGGAACGATGGAGGTTAAGAGTAGGAAGATTCCTATTGATCGGAAAGCTTGTGAGGGGCAGGAGGGGTCCCGAGTGGGCAGCCTGGGACCCCACTTTACAGAGGAGTTTAGAGGGTGAAACCCACATGGGTACAGGTGGGCCCCAGCCGTGATCATCCACTAAGGTCACAGGTGCAGTCACTCAGGTGATGGTGTCCAGTTGGGAGGCGAGTCACTCACGTAGCAAGCACGGATGGAGAGAACAAAGACTCTCCTAGGAAGTAGCTGGTCCAGAGGCCTCTGGTCACCCACCGGGGTGGCCAATGTCTATCTAGACTTCATTAGGCCCAGTGTTTGTTCCCTGAGGAAGTGTGCAGGTCTTGTCTTTATCTTAAGGCCTGGTTTTTAGACAATGTGTCTCCAGTCGCTGCTGCGGCGTGTTTCATCTTTGTCCTGACCTTCTAGAGGACCTGGCCCTATCTGACTGCCTGTAACATTTCTGCCTGGCTCAGCTGTCCGTCATAGTTTACAACAGCATGGTTTCATTCTCTTACACACATGGAGGTCAGGAATCTAAAATGGAGGCAGGCAGGGCTGTGTTCCTCCTGGAGCCTCTCAGGGAGTATGTCTCCCTCCCTTCTCCAGCTTCCAGAGCCTGCCTGTATTTCTTGGCTTGTGGCACCTTCCTCCAACTTTCAGCCCAGCCGCAGAGCACCTCCAATCTCAGAGTCAGCCCCTGCAGCCCTGCCACATTTTCTTCCCTGGCTCTGACCTCCTGCCTCCCTTTTCACATATGAAGACCCTTACGATTACACTGGGTCTTCTTGAGCAATTCACAACCATCTCCCATCTCAGTATCTCTAACCTAATCATACCTGTCATATAACATAACATACCCACAGCCTTCAAGGATGAGCATGTGGCGTCTCTAGCAGTGGGGGAGTCCATTATTCCGCCCACCACAACTTTCTTTTCTTAGCTTCTTCGAGGGGAAAAATTCATGAGATAATTTTTCACCTCAATTACTGTCTCCTTAAAGTATATCTGGACCCCCAAATAGTTAAATATCACTTTATTTTCAGCCTCAAACAGTTCAGATGATCTTATGTTGAGCATCTTTTTCTTCTGGCTTCTCAGCTACTTCAAGTTAAGATGCGGTTGGGCCAGCAGCGAGCTGTCCCATGCTCTCTGTTCGCCATGACTGCTTCCTACTCGAGCTTTTCAGCGCGTACTTGATGTAAACTGATGTGGTGCATGCCAGGCCATGTGATTTGCGAATACTTTTGCTAGGCCTTTTTATCCTGATATTGTAAATGTGGAGTCTACTTCATTTCTAAGAGAAAGAAGGGCAGTTTGGCTATACAACCACTTGACTCCCATCCTCCTTCCTCTGCCACAACGCACATAGTTATGAATGATCATTTGAATTATGAATCTGTCCTAAAATACCAGCTGGTTCTAACTAAGGGCTTATTGTTCTTTTTTTAGTGGTGATAGTAAGGATCAAACTCAGGTCCTTGTGCATGCCAAGCACTCACTCTACCACTGAGCCAAACTTCCAATCCCCTAGGCTTACCGTTTTCGACAGGTGAATTCTCTTCTAAAGTGCATTGACTTACATGTGATTGCTATTTGATAGTCTCCAGAACATTTCCAGTGTGTATAAACATGATTCTCACAACCTTGTAAGACAGGTAAAACAGATTGTTGTCAGTATTGTGCAAATGAAATCACCAAAGTTAGCCAGGTAGAAAAAGCCAGCATCAGTTTCCTGACCTCCAGACCATTGAAGTCCCTGCTCAGGCCGCTGCTGTAGAAACCAAATTAAAAGATTCTACGTCAAAGTTTTGTACACAAGAACTCACTGACTGGCTGAACATTTTATATCTTCCCTCATCAAATTTGTACAATGAATTTTTTCTTACGGTGAAGATGATTCTAAATCATACTTCCTCCTCCAACCCAAGAGAAAGCCTGTTCATCATCTCAGAGGGCTGGGCCAGAGGAGGCTCTAACACACTCCTGTGTCTCCCTGAACACTTAACTCAAACACTCTGGACAGTGTAGAAGTAAGTCCTGCCCTGGAAGCTCCAGGTCGAAGAGTCACGCGATCCCCACCTCTAGTCCCTCGGGCTCTCCACCTCTGCCCACTGTGTTCAGTTTATCACTTAGCGCAGCTCGCTCTGGCTTCAGACCACGGGGACATGACAGATATGTCCCCTTTAAGGTCTGTTTTCCTTTTACGACCACTTCTCCCCACCTGTTCCAGAACAGCTCTCCATACGTGGAAGACCCGAGATTACCAAGTCCCTTCTCAATGCCTTTTTTCCGGGGTAAGCCATGTCAGGGTTTGCTTGGAGGTCTTTCTCCTACGGAAAGCACAGGCAGGAGGCGCCCGTGTTGGCCCCATGAGGGGAGGGGACCCAGAGGCTGAGGCCGGCCTGTGGCAATGTCTTCCTTCCTGTTCTTGGAGATGTTTCCAGAGTCCAAGACTTCTGGGGAAAGAGCCTGAGGAAAACCTGGCCTCAGTGCCTGGGCTTAGGCAGCTGCATGGAAATCTTAGGCACCTTTGAGAAGCAGTCACCTCTCTTTATGGGATGAAGAAGCCAAGCCCGGGGGGGTTCGCAGCCAGTGGGTAGCAGGGTCGGACTTAGAGCCTCGGTTTCCCAGGTACCCAACACTGTCCTTTCCACCACGAGGTTGGACGACACAGCAGCCCCCATGGTGCTGCACCAGGTTCTCCTGTAACGTCCTGTCTCCAATCTCGTTTGCCCTGTGTTGGTTATTCTCGTGCTAACCTAATTTCCTGATCTACTGAAGCAGGTAAAGTTACTGTTCTTTCTTACATTCTGAGCGCTGAGTTTATAACTTGGTTGGTCCAGATCTATAGAAGTGATATTGAGAAATTCTGTCGTGTGTGGCATCCAACCAGAAATGTCACACATCAGGAAAGGGAGAATCGTCTCTTGTTTTCTGGGGGAATTTTCACTGTTTCTGCTTCACCGTAACAGGGCTACCTACCTCTTTTCCGACCACACAAACCAGGCTGGAACTTTACATAGCTGGTAAGGAAGGCAAGCTATTAAAATTTTTTAGTTTGTTCCAATAGGCTGTTTTCTTGTAAAACTTGAATAAGACTAACTTAATATTGCTGTGAATAGCATTAGAAGTAAATAAATCACTGAGCATAAACAAGAGATAGTATTTAAGCCACAAGAGTTCCAAGACTATGGGTACTTTGCTCCAAAATACAGAATCACAGAGTTTTGGAACTGCAGGGAATCTTAAAGATCATTTGGTCCCACACTCTTTCTTGAGAGAAAAGCTTGGGAGAAATTAGCCTGATGAGCAGGTTTACAGGGAGTCGTGATCCTAGCCCAGGAATTTACATCTGTAGCTCTCAAGCCTTTGAATATTGATCCCATAAGCTTAATTCCACATTCTTCTTAATTCCTCATGCGACATAGCTTTTCCAAAAATAGCTTCTGTGAAGCAGCATGATATCATGTAGGAATCGTGTTTTCCACAATCCTAACAGGCAGTAGACTCTGTCGGGCAAATCACCATGACACACACACCCTACTCTCCGTGCACCAAGCCCAGCTCAGGTCTACATCTCCTGGAAGCCGAGATGGTGTCCCATGAGGCCCCTCATGGTGCTGGCCCACTTTTCCGGAGAGGTAATTGTCATAATTGCTTCAGAAAGTGGTTTGCACATTTCACTCTTTGACAGGGTTTTAGCTTTAAAAGTAAATCTCCTTAACAACAAAAAGTACCCCGAAAATGCTGTTTTAGACTAGTTGATGATCAGAAGCAAAAACTGAGTCAGCCAGTCTCTCTAAGGCTCACGAAGCCATCATTCCCTTCAGATCTTAGGGTGAATGGGGGTGCAAGTCAGTGTGTGTGTGGGAGGACAAGATGAACACTGTTGTTACGTAGTCACTGTAGGCGTGGGGGCTCCAGGCTTGGGGAAGGGTGAAAGAAGCAGATTCCAAGTCAAGCATCGATTGAGCTTTGAGTTCCAATTATTGGAAATCTCTGCTATATAATCATTTCCACTTATCCCTTTTAATTGATCCTTCACATGCTTGCATACACGCGCATACACACATACACACACACACACACGCACACGCAGACGCCCTTCCACTCCACACACAAAGGAATGTTCATACCAAAAGTTCAAGTCCGTGGATGACTGATAGATCTTATGCCTATAAGGTAGAGTATTTGATGGGAAATCATTAGAGTTGGGAGCTGCAATTCCTAAACCAGGGTGCCCTTTTGCTTCCTTTATTTGAAGTCTCTGGTTGCTTTTGTCTTCCCCCAGGCAGCTAGTAGTCAGAAAGTTCAACAAATATTTGTCAGTTATGTACTATAATAAAGTCTGCCCTCATACAGTGTCCTCTGTTGTAGTAGGGGCAGACAGTAAACCAAGGAACACTTGCTATAGCATCTGTGGTAAAGAGGAGGGAAGTAGTGGGCTGTTCTACAGGGTGTTCGTAAATGGTTCTCTGTCCAGGTGATAGGTAAGCAGAGACCTACATCAAATGAGAGAGGGACCCGTAGAACTAGCCAAGGTAAGGGTTTTTGAGGAAAGTAGAACAGCAACCACAAAGGGTTTGAGGTAAAAACAAGTTTAGCAAAGTCATGTGGACCAGGATGGCCAGAACCCCCAGTAGAGTAAGAAGAGGCAAGGTGGGAGGGGTCTTGGGGACCATCGCCATCACCTTGGCATCCTCCCGACCTAGCAGGGCGGCCTCTAAAACCCTGTGATCCACTGGGCAGTGTGAATCTGAGTTCAGTTAGATATTTGGGTAGGAGTAACAACAGCCTGGAAGAATTACTGCAGCTTTTCAGACTTCCTGTCTAAATTCCAGTAGAGGAAGAGGACCTGGCAAGCTAGGAGACTCTGGACTCTGGGGCTGGTTGTCTGCGGGCACTCTGTCATTTAGCTTCCTCTCTCACCATCCCCACAGGAGGCAGAGTTTATTGCCCTGTTAGGAGAAGGGAGCTCGGGCCACTACCTCCAGCCTCTGGGCTGAATGGAGTGGCCGAGAGGGGCCCTCGGACCGTGGACAATCTCTTCCCACTCAACCTGGAGTTGCTGAGTTTGTAAATGTGGCATTCCATAATTCTAAAATCCCATGAGTATCTGCACATGTCTAAAATATAAGCTGACATGTGAAACCAGTGTTTAGATCACCTGTATATTTAGGAAGAAATGGGCAGTGACTTTTCCCATCAAAGTCGAACCCTTCACTTAATGTAAAATGAAGATGCCATGAACCCTAATACACATCACCCTAAATGGACGTCTGGTTTAGCCCTAAATAAGGCCCGGACCCTAGCAAGGCTCTAGGGTTTCATTTCCCGGATCAGGCAGAGGACTGCTCCTTAGCTCATTTTGGAGCCATGCTGTTGACGAACAGCAGATTATCATAGGAGCCTTCGTTGTTTAGGGACTGATTTGAATCCGTGAAGCCTCTGATGGATGCATAATTTTGCCTTCTGAAGCCACCGGGGCAGACTCCCTGCCCAGGCCCACACTGGCACAGCCACTTGGACGGGAGCCCACCCGTGTCGCGTGTCTCCAATGCCCTGCTCGAGGTGGAGCCTGCTGAGTCCTCACCAGACCCCCGCTCTCAGGCCCCCCGCCGTCCCGGAAGGAAGGCGTCTTTGGGCGCCGATCTCCCCGCTCGCTCGCTTGGTGAGCCGCGGTGCCTGCCGCCTGCTGGAGATTGCAGCTGAGTCCCACGCGCTCCTCGCCGGCGCCGCCTCCACTGCTCCTCCTCACTGGGGGCCCCTCGAGCTCTTCCTCTCCTCCGTGGCCCCCGAGCCATTTACGGTTACCGTTTAGCTCCGTCTCTGCTCCCGGGCCTGAAACCACAGACAGACTCGGCATTCAGCCCCGAATTTTCTTTTTTTATGCTTCAGATCCCCTTTGTTCCCCATCTGTAAGTTTTCTGCTTGGGCTGGTGTTTTTATTAATCGGCTGCATTCAGTGTGCTGATCAATTATCCCGGGCAATTTCTCCTTATTCAAGAATCCCTATTCTTTTTCATTGAAGATCAGACAAAGTCCTCTTGTTGACCAGGTGCGCAGACCTCTTAGCCATTTCTGCTCAGATCTGACTCCCTGAGGGGCGTGACTGAGGAGCTCGAGCCTGCAGAGGGCACCGGGCTGCTCTGCCGGGCACCCTCCTTCCTGCCTAGTAGAGACCTAGCCCTGTTTCCCTCCCAGCTCCTTGGCACCCTGGCCTCTGCTAAACAGGAGAAAGCATTTTGGGTGATTTGGGGTGGGGAGCCATGCATCTTTTCAAATCCTGACCCAATTAAGCTTTCTCTCCTAGTTCCGTTATCTTGGCAACAATTACCCACTTGTCATTCTGGGGCTGTAAAATAAGGCTAATGGCTCTTTCTCATTACGTCTAGCTGCACTGGGCTTTTAAAATTCCTCCCTTCAGTGTCTCCTTTACTGGTCAGTTTTATTTGCTGCTACTATAAATGTGATTTCCTCTTGCGTATTAGACACACCCCCCAAAACACATTAAGAGTTTCCTTTGCTGCACATTTAAGAACACAAATGAGTCAAAAGTGGGCATTTGGGGAGGATGTACACTTTTCAGATAATGACTTAAAATTCCAGTCCGAGGCCCTTTGGAGATGTAAATTGAGGAAGCAGCTTTCCTTTTGGACAGCTTAATGGTCTGTAGGTAATAGTGGAGGGCTGATGGGCAGCTGTGGAACAGCTGGGCTTTGGTTAGCCTTCTCGGCTCTCCAAATGGCACAGTGATTATAGCCATTGAGAGGCAGAATCCTGCCCTGAGTCAATAGCCAAAGCGTAAAGAAGGTGGTGGCATGTCAGGCCTGTTCTCCTGATGGGGATGGCTGTTCTCTCCCAGCCAGTGGCTGATGCCTCTTTCTGAGCCTCGGGTGTGTAATCAGCTGAAAACAAATAGCCACTTCAGGAACTCCAGGATGAAGGGTGCTGGATTCAGAGCCCAGTTCTCCCCTAACTTAACGCACGCAGTTTCCCCAACTTGGCAGAAACTGAATGTGCTCATCCCTGGTGAATAAAACTGAGTCGGTTACCAGTTGTTCTGGGAGATCAGACCCAGTTATGACCTCTAACAGTGTTTTCTCTTCCTTCAAAAAGCCTAAATGAAGCCAAGCACAGTGACACTGACACGTGCCTGTAACCCCAGGCAGCTGGGAGGCAGAAAGGGGAAGATCACAAGTTCAGGGCCAACCTGGGCAACTTACTGAGAATCTGTCTAAAAAATAGGCTGGGATGCAGCTCAGTGGTAAAGCTCCCCTGGGTTTGATCTCTAGTACAAAACACGTGCACGCGCACACACACACACGCACACACACACACGCAGCCCAAATGAGTTCAACAATTACAAAAAGTAAACAGCCCCATTCAAAAATGGTCAAAAGACTCAGATAGACATTTCTTCAAAGAAGATGTAGAAATGACCAGCAGGCACATGAAAATATGTATTACCATATCTCATCTGTCAGGAAGACTGTTATCAAAAGAGGGAAAATTACAAGCTAGGCATGGTGACACACACCTGTAGTCCTAGCTGCTTAGGAGGCTGAGGCAGGAGAATCCCTTGAGCCTAGGAGTTTGAAGCCCACCTGGGAAAAACTAAAACAAGAAAAAGAGAGAATGAAAAAGAGACAGAGGAGGGAGGGAGGAAATTATAAATGGTGAGGATGTGGAGAAACTGGAACTTTTGTGCACTGGTGCTGGGAGCTTAAAATGGTATAGAGCTTATGGAAAAGAATGTAGTAGTTCCTCAAAAAGTTAAGAATAGAATTACCATGTGGCCCAGCAATCCTTCCTCTAGGTGCCTACTGAACAATCAAAAGCAGAGTCTCAGCGAAATATTTGTACAGTGTTTCTGGCAGCACTGTTTACAATGGCCAGAAGGTGGGAGCCACCCAGGTGTCTATGGATGGATGGCTGTGTAAGCAGAACGTGTTCCACACACACATGGAGCATTAGCCTGCCTTCAAAAGGAAGGGAATTCTGACATTGCCGCTACACGTGGGTGAACCCTGACAGCATTATGCTGAGTGAAAGAAGCCAGTCACAAGAGAGAGAATGCTGTGTGAATCCGCTCGTGTGAGTGACGGAACAGTCAGCTTCACGGGGACAGGAAGTACAGCAGTGGCTGCCAGGAGCTGCAGATGGGGGTTTTCGCTTGATGAGAAGAGTTTCAGTTTTACAGGTGAAAAGAGCTCTGGAGGTGGATGGAGGCGATGATTGTACAACAGTGTGAAATGGTCAAGGCACAGGGATGATTATGCTTAAAAATGTTTACGACAGTATTTAAATTATGTGTATTTGAGTTATAAGTCTTTCAACACAACTATTTTTAAAGCATCGGTAAAATATGCTGTTTTCTCTTAGCAGCTCAGGCTTGGAGATTCAGAGTAGAGATAGAAGGAGGAAAATAAAAACAGCAGAGGGGGAGTGGACCTTGTCTTTGTGTGACACTAACTACAAATGTTTTTTGTTTACAGAGTCATTTTTCTCTCAAGAAGGGAGCTGCAGCCCTGGGGATTGGAACGGACAGTGTGATTCTGATTAAGTGCGACGAGAGGTGAGCATGAACTGCAGCCGTGCCGGTCAGCAGCTGGCCATTCGCGCGCCTCCCGGTCAGCGAGCGGGACGCTACGCCCTCCCTCGCAGCCCGGGCCTCTCTGGTCCCCTTTCCACCTGGGCTCCCCGAGGAGCCTGCAGATGTTCCACAGGGCCATGGAGCCTCTCACGGCTCTTGACTGAGTGGGAGCCTTTGTTAGATCAGTCAAAATCTTCTTCGCCGAGATGGGGCAGAAGGACATTGTCACTCGCGCACTTTGCAGCAGCAGGCAGTTGGGCACTGGTTATGAGGTATCACCGGCGTGGGCACCGTGAGGACTGTGTGAACCTGATGGAGTGATAACAGAATGGGGCCAGTTTAGTGAGCAGGAAATAAATAGAGCCCAGCCATTCAGCAGCTCTGCCAGGAACCAGAGCGCTCTGTGGGGAAAATCCTTCTCCAGATGCCGTGGGGACGCAGCGATTCGGTTTGGCGTGTTGGGGCGGAGGCACAGCCTGCTTGGGCCTGGAGAGCACCACTGGCCTGTAGCCTGGGATGTACAGAGAGTTAGAGTCAGTCTTTAAAAGGTGGAGGAAGAACTTCCCTGAGTTAAAAGGAAGCCACTCAGTTAACCATTTCTCTGTTCCCCTCTATTCTCTGGGCAGCGGGTACCGAGGGCCCATCTTGTCACTAGGTCCTAGCAAAGTGCAGGGCAGCATCCCAGGCCCCGGCAGCGTGTGACCTGGACCGGAAAGTGTTGGTAACCTCAGAAGGAGGCAGAGGTGTGGTTGTAGTGTGTGGTGCCGAGGTTGCGATCTGTGCATCAGCGAGGTTCGGAAAGCTCCGTGAACAGGGAGAACTTCAGCTGGGCTCTCAAGTTGGCGATGATGAGTTGGATGCGTGGCAGGAAAGGCGGGAGCAGGCCCGCAACACTGAGTTCCACGGCAAAGTCAGAAGGAGTGGGACGGGCGTGCTGTGGGCCTGACCAGAGTGGGGAAGTAGAAAGGCCCGGCAGGTACCTCGGCCTTGTGAGGCTGGGAAAGCTCTGGAAACCCAGCTCAGGGGATCCTAACCATGCTCACCTCCGGTGTGAAGCTGAAGAGGACTGCCACTTTCTGGTTTACACCTGTACGTGTTGCCTGATTTTGTATGTTAGCAAGGAATACATATTTTACAGTCAGGAACAAAGATACATTATTCCTTTGGGAATAGGGTAGCTAAACAGCATTTGACCTTACAGATCTGGAAACAAAGTAACTTGAAAGCATTTTTATCCAAGTAGAATGTGAATGAAGCCACCCTGTGAGAAGTAGGGAAGGGAAGGCCTCTGGCCATTGGTCCAGGTGAGGGGCTCCTGCAGTAAGGTGAGCATGACGTGATGAACGACTGGAGTAAAGCTAAGACATCTGGCAAAAGGAATGGTCTTGTTTTTAAGATTCCTAATGTTCCTGCTTAACTGAGATTTGAGGAGAAACTGGCAAAAGAAAGTTGCTAGTTTTATTTTTATCCTCTTTATTTTATTGATTACTGAAAAGAAACCTATTACTAAAGAGAAAGCAACAGAAAATAAAGAAGAAAAGTTTTGATGACTTTACATTTTTAGTCCATACCCCAGGACTCGGGGAAGAGTCACTGCCGCAGTCCCTGGCTTGGTCCTCCTGGCTCTTCCTCTTTAAGCTGGGCGAAGGTGTTCATGAGCTGAGTTCCAGTGGGCCAGTGGTGACCAGGAAGAGTGGGGTTTTTTCTCTTTCTGTTCATGGGAGTTGTAGGAAAATACAGGAAGCAAGGAAGACGAAAGGAAATAGGAAAGATAAGAAATAAAAGGGAGGAGGAGACCTAAGAGAAAGTGTGAGGGAATTGTGAGGCAAAGCCAAGTGGGGGAATGCACAGGGAAATGTGGTGAAGGCAGGAAACAAAAGGAGAGCTTCCGCAGGAGTAAGTGACAGTTCTTATCATCCGAAAGCACTCACTCACTTGGAAACAATAAAAAATGAGAGAAAAAATGCAGTTTCACCACCGAGTGGTGTCTAAACCTTGGAATCTCTTTTTCTAAACATACAGGTTTGTTCTTTCTTTTTTATCTTTGTTTTCTCTTTACACATTCATGATTTTATTTATTTTTCTTGCTAGGCAGGATGACATATTGTCCCCCACTCTTACACACACACACATACCTACCCGTCAGGTCAGAAAGCATCATAGTACTTCACAGAACTGGGGCTGGACTGTTTGTTTTCCAATCTCAGCTCTAGCACCAGTTTTAGCAAATGCCTCTTTGTGCCTCAGTTTCTATATCTGAAAAAAGGAAAAAAGTAATGACATCTCCTTCAGAGGATTGTTATAATGACGAATGTAAAATGCTGAAAATGATACCTAGCATAGGGTAAGTACAAATATTAGTGTGTTGCTACGCATTTCCCCATTTCTGACATTGCTGCTATAAATAACCTTTCTATCCTTCAACAGATATCCTTATGTGTGCATGACTCCTCTGTTTGTAATTATTTCTTTATATAAATATGAACTTAAATTATGTGGACGTTTTTAAGGAAAGGGATACCAGTTACCTTTTAAAACCTTCTGTCAGTTTATTCTCCAAATACTACTGTATCAGAGTACGTTGAGAAAATATTAAAGCTATGTTAGTATCTACATGTAAGCTTTAATTCTACACTGATAGTTCATATAATTAGTATGAGATTAAGATGAGATCCTGGACTTGGTGGTTTAAGTGAAATTGAAGGGTCCGGAGTCTGGGGCCAAGACAAGGCTGTGGATAGTCCTTGTAGTCACCATTCCGGTCACGCTCAAAACCACTCTTGGCGGCCATTTTGCTTTTGTTATCTCCTTGAGAAAATCAGACGTACAGTCCAAAAAAATCACTTAAGGTGATTTCACTTTCTTGTTCCCCCTAATATACTTTGTCAAGTTCATCCAGACTTCACCAAACACAAACTTGGACCTGCTCTTCAAGGCTTTCGTTTCTTGTACTCTTTCCAGCTCTGCACATCAGTTTGGCAGCAGGTGGGGTGATGGGTCTTTTGCTGTTCTCTGGTAGAAGTTTCCAACTGAAAGGAATTTTCTGGTGAAGGAGAAGACTCTGTGCCTTCTTAGCACCAAGCCCAAAGCCACGTGTGATGGATGAATGATACCACGAGATACTCGCGCTTAATTAGTGATCACAGAGGCTTACTTTGGGGATCCACTCAAAGTGAAACATGGTTCTCAGTTAAAACAAAAAAGGAATGTATAATGAATTCATTTGTTTAGACTGGGTTCTCTCCGAGTTGAAAAGCAAAAATCATTTTAATTTTATTGTATACTCTAATGATTGGAATAAAATATGGTAATGCAAGACTTTAGTTCAACATGACTTACATTTAAACAGCAAATATCATAACTACAAAAGAATATTATATATTTTTAATTTCTTAATAAATTCAAAAGGGGAATGAAACCCTGATTTCATTCATCCTAGTTTAAGAGTTCTGTTTCATTTTTAGCAAAAAATTGAGCACTTGCAATAATGGGATAAATGATTTTTTTGCTCAAGTGCCATTGGATCTGATATTTGCAAAATTCGAATTAGTGGAATCTAAATTAATTTATGTGTTGATGCGCCCAAAGAGAGAGAAGAAAAGTGAATTAATATTTAGAGAAAAATAAATATTTGTGAAAGAAAATTGAATTTAAGGGCCGGGGATTTAGCTCAGTGGTTCCACCGCCTGCCTCACAAGCACGAGGTCCCAAGTTCGATCCCCGGTACCAAAAAAGAAAATTGAATTTCAAGAATTGGATTAATCCACCACGGAAAAAGATGTTTCCCAAGTAGAGGGAAAAGAAAATATGTCACATATGGATAATAATTTGGAAAAATATGAAGTTCCGGTAGAATGGGAGCTGTGTGCCTGTGGCAGTGGCCTCGGTTGGGGGCCCAGTGGCAGACAAGGGGGCAGAGGGCAGTGCGGCGTGAACCAAGCCACGCCCATGAGGAAGATAAGCACAGGAAGTCAGCTCGTTCCTGAGGCTCATTACTGTACATCTGGAGGAAGGGTGGTGGGCGGTAACCAGATGAAGAGAACAGGACTGTTCCGGGCAGAGGCCGTGGATAGAACAAAGCTGGGCTTGTTCAGGAAACACGATGGAGGGACTTCCGGCTGAAGACACCGGATGCTACTGAAGGGCTTTCGGCGGGGAGCAGCGTCACGGTTCTGTATCAGAAAGATGACTTTAAATACGGAGTGATACGTGAGTTAGAAACCGGACGCTGCTGGCTGTTGCAGGAGTATGAACGAGGGACGGTGAATGCTGAGCTGGGTGGCGGCACAGCAGGGGGATGGAGAGCTGAGGTTTACAGGAGGCGGCGGCTGAGGGTGTGCAGGGTGAGAGAGGAGCCGAGGGCGAGGGCCAGCCTCTGGCTTGCCAGCCAGCTCGACGCAGTGCTGTTCTCCGAGACAAACCCGCCTGACTCACGAAGGCGAAGAGTTCGGCCGCGGAGAGGAAGAGCAGAGGAGACATTCAAGCGAGGCTGGTAAACAGGCCCTGGGAAATGGGAGCTTGGAGCTCAGAAGATGACCGGAAGCCATGTGGCAGTGAGCCTGAGGAAGAACACTGAGGAGGGGCCGTGTTTCCCGGAGAGGAAGAGGAAGAGGAGGCTGCCCAGGAAGCGGAGGAGACTCGGGAAGTGGCGCCGCCCCGTGAGCCCACCCGACTGTTCCCAGAGAAGCGAGGGTCGCAGGGCCACAGGTTGCCAGGGGCGGAGGGGGCCGCCCACTGCCCCTGGCTCTGCTTACAGCAGGCCGCTGAGGCTGGCCCGGGAAGTCTCGGGGAGAGAGGGCAGAAGGCAGCCGCCGGGGCTGGGGGTGAAGAGCACGCAGAGCACGCTTCCGCTTCCGGGAGGCTGACTGACCGGTGCAGGCCGGCAGGCGGCAGGGCAGCGGCCAGAGAGGAGTGCTGGATCCAGGGTGACTTGGGTCCTGTCGGGTCTTGATTTGTTTGTACTGACAGGGCAGAAGCTGGAG